TACATATAGCTCCCGCTTCTGCCCAATCATTGCATGTGCAAACTGGAAAGTTCTAGGAAGCTGCCTTACATTAGATAGGCTATATGTTCATCATTCTAGACCAATACTGTCTGCTCTGACTGGAAGCTGCTTTCCAGGGTTCATGAAGGTGGCCTTTTGCAGCCCCTGTTACCTGCTCCTTTTTACTGGAAATGTCAGGATTTTGAACACAAAGCATGTGCTGTCCTACATAGTTACCGTCCCCCTAAAGAGACATAAAAAAAGAAAAAAAGAAAGAAAAACCTAGACATCCTTTTATTCGAGACCGACAGTTGGACTGCCCAGAGAACACAAGTGACTCGTGAGTCATCCCTCAGTCCACCCTTGTAACATTTTACGGTGCTTAATTTTCGGAAAAAAGAAACATCAGGCTCAAACTTACAATGAAGCTATTTCCAGAGGTGAGTGCATAGGCCTTGATTTGTACCAAAATGTAGCCATTAAATGAACACAAGTGTCTTTGAACATGTGCGGAGTGCCGTTCCTCCCTTCCAGCTACCCCAAACCTGGGATTATGTGATGCGTCTTTAGCGGCAAGACATAGGAAGCCGCCTTATATCATTTCAAACTATCCGCCCTATCTGCCCATTCAGAGCAACTTTGGCTACTACTCTTCAGAGTCTCGAGCAGAGTTTTACACCATCCCTGGCAACCTGAACCTTTTAACTGGGGATGAAGGGGATTGAGTTGATGATTTAACATGCAAAGCACATACTCCAACCACTGAGCTATGGGTCTTCCCCTAACATTCAAGCAGGCTCGAGCTGCAGGCCGTTCCTTTCGGAACTCTAGAAGTATGTGAGCACTAGTTGCATTTACAAAGCATCAGGGAAAAGGCACTCTGCACTTCCTCATAAAAGTCTGCTGCTATTTTGCATCTTCTAAAGCTGAACAGGTCCTGGGGTTCATATGGTTTTGAGGCCTAGCTGATGGAGCCCCCTGCTCTCTGCACCTCACAATGATTTGGTGGTAGCAATGGTGGCATGGTGTGTGTGTGTTTCTGTGTGTATAAGGGATGGGGGGGTGTTGGGTCCCTCTGCCACATACTCAGGTTTGGCACCATATTAAAGTCTGCAGGGTGTTGCTTAAGAAGATGGGAAGAAGGAGCTTTATCATGAGCCAAGCTGACAGAAAAGCCCACTAATGGGACTTGAGGCTTTACGCACAGAAACAAAAAAACAAAAAAAGAAGGAAGAAACTGCCAAAACATTAAGCTTCCGCCAAGTGTCGAAGGGCTACTGATTTATTGCAGCAATTTTGCCACTGTGTCCTTTATAAGGTCCCCGGAGTCTTTCCCCACTGGCAAGAAACTGTGAGCTGTTGCGGCTCAGGGAGAAGCGTAGAAGCTAGCCAAGAGCTTTTGCGGGGTGGGGGGGCTCGGGGAGGGAGAGAGAAGATAGAAAGGAAGAAAGGAAGGGGGAGGAAATTGAATGTTGACTTGAACTTGCCCCAGGCAGGAGAGAGTCCTCTTAGCTCCACTAGCTCTTTGACAGCTTGATGAAATGAGTCCAGGGCCTCCCCATGGCTAGACCAGCTCTGGCTTCCGAATGCTGAGGGGGAGCAGGGCGGAGGTGGGGGGTAGGGGTAGAGTTGTAAGAAACAGACTGAGCCTCAGGGCAGCAATTTCCTTCCTTCACCACTACCCCCCCTTTCTTTTCTCAGCATTTGGCTGGGAGAGGGAGGTCATAAGCACTATACATGTATAAACTGAGCTCTCTTTCACCCCCCTCTCTCTTTCAATCTTAGCGGTGGCAATTTGGCAACTGAGGATAGCCCTGAGCGCTATAACTAATTTTGAGAGGCAGTGATGCATCAACATGGCTGGCGCAGGCTGAGCCAAAGGTGTGTGAATGGGTGTGGGGGTGTTGTTGTGGAGGCCATTTTGTTAAGTGACCAATAGCTGTCACCTGCAAGCTGAGAGAAGGGAAATCTCTCTCTCCCCCCCCCCCCCCGGTGTGTCTTACATGAGGGAAATTAGGGTGGATTTTCTACCGTTCCCCTTTTACCACAGAGCACGTTAATCTTCCAATCCACCACTGTTTTAGCACAAAACAATAAAAAAATATAAAGGAGAGAAAAAGAGAGAGAGAAAGGAAAGGCCCAGTGTTTGCACAAGAAGCAGTTCCTTGGACTCTATTATTGTCTCTGCACCCCCAAAGCTGCCTCCTTGTGTTACTTCCATGGGTCAAGGAGCCAACGGTTTAAAAAACACTATTTAAAAGTCTCTTTTCATTCCACAAGAGTGAGTTGATCTGCTACAGCTAGGGGTCGATTCCCAACGGGCCTCCGTATTCCCCTACCCCCCTCCAAGCCCCCTTTTCTCTTCTCTTTTCCTTAGTCTTCATAAATTAATCAGGAAGGCCCTGACTAAGTCATTTCATGCTGTACAACATAAAAGGAAGTCCCCTGATGCTCCAACCTAGGATCTATTAAAAGCAGAGAGAGGAGGGAGGAAAAGCGGAGGGGGGAGAAAAGCAGCGGAGGGAGGAGGGGAAGGAGGGGGAGAAAAACCCTTCAACCTTTTTGATTTTTTGTTAGGATAAAAGCTGGAGGACTTTGTTACAAATTCTAGCCTACATCAAAACACCTTAAATAATTCAAAGAACATGTTTAAAGGGAAGAAACTGAATGTTGCTCTGATGTTCAGTTGCTGCAAACACAGAATATCACCCCAAACAGCATAGCCTGTTAAGGGAGGCAGACAGGGGTGGGGGGAGCAGCCTTGAGCATTCCAGTTCTTTAGAAAAATGTCAGAACCTGTAAAAATCATAATTTCCAGCAACTCCCCCCCCCACAAATGTGTGTCTGTTTGCGTGCATGATATAAACTCAGCGAGACTGAAATGTAGGTTCCTGACAAGCTGTTAACAAGACAACTTTCGAAATTCTAGTCTGGAGCTCTCTGGGAGATGGGCTGCCATTTCACTGTTCTGAGGAAGTTCATGACATGACAAGCAAAAATCAGGAAACAGAGACCTAAAAACCACGGTGTAATTTTCATTTGCTTCTGTCGTGAAAGAATTCAGGCAGAAATATTAGGAGGCTGAACAAAAAAGAAAAGAAAAGAAAAGACGAGCATGTGTGTGAGAGAGAAAATGAACTGGAAAGTAATTGTTGGGATTTAACAAGCAGATCGTTTATACTTAAAAAAATATATATAATATGGGGATTCTATTACGTGTGCGTGCCCACGCGTGCCCCTGGTGCCAGTGGTAGGCCAGGTTGGGTACTGGTGCCACTGGCAAAGGGCTACAGCAGCTCAGAAGGACCCTTACCACCCTGTTCATCAGGCTCCCAGGTGGCTGTTTTAGCATTGGGTGGGTAGGAGCGCCATTTCTGGATGGGAGCCATCTGCACCAGCTGCATTGTGCTGGGGGCCCATTTGTGGCCCTGTACTAAGGGCCCTCTGAAGTCCAATGCCAGCCCTGACAATGAGTGGCAGCTTCTAATTTACTATAGGGCAATGTTGGTGGATGCTCTTGTACCTGCGGAAGCTTTAATAAAATAATATTGCTAGTATTATTTTAGAGGGTATAAGGAATCAGGTTCTGAAGCAACTGAAAATCAATGGCATAAACCACACTAAAGACAGGCGGTTTTGCCAGTCCTTTAAAAAATGTTAGGAAGTCTGCAGATTTGATAATAAATGGATGGATGAACAGAGATATATAGATAGAGAAATAGAGATATGGTAGAGGTGGCCAAACTGTGGTTCATGAGCCATACTGGGCTCCTGGGAAATTTAGGGAAATGAATAAAAAGCAGGATGAAATGAAGCAATCCTTAGTGTACACTTGAGGCACAATGAAAACCTAAGCCTTCCTCCCTACACCCCCCCCCCCTCATTCTCCAAGCTACACTCTGAGACTAAGGATAGGGATTGTGATCTGGCCACAAAAAAAAGAGGATGGGAGAATTATGTGTCAATTTGAACAACAGAAGTGTAGCAAGATTAAATGGGTTTAAGAGATTGTAGAAAAAATTCTAATGTGCGGTTGGAAAGATTGATGGGAAACTGGATAGTCTCACTCATTAAATATTAACCCGAGATAAAATGATTAGACAACAGTGCAGGCCCAATACATTTTGCTGCCTGAAGCGGAGATGAAATGCTTTCCCTGGTCTGAACCAAAGTCCAAATGGTATCTTACCACAGGGCTCAACATTTTAAAAGTTCTTGCTGCACCATTCGGACAAGTCCTGCCCTCATCTAGACACCTCCCCACCCCTAAAAGCAAAAACAATATTTAGCTAGGATATTTGGGTAATTGCGTTATCAGCAGCTGATGCTATTATGGATAGTATTGTCAACATGTTTATTTTGCACAGATTTTGACTTTAGTTGAATTGTCATAAACTGCACATTTTGTATTTTATTGTCTGATCCCACTGTTAAAAATGTTTGTTATTATTATTAAATTTTCATATTGCCCTTCATCCAAGGATCATAGGGCAGTTTACAATATAATTTTCTCTCTACACTCTATTATATCTTCTCCCTCTACATCAGGGACAGGGAATTTGGGCCTCCAGGTGCTGCTGGACTCTCAGTGGCTCTAGCCAACATGGCCAATGTGCTGGGATTATGGGGGTTACAGACCAACACCATCTGGAGTGCCACAGGTTCCATATCTGCCAAGCATAGATAACACTTCATAGATCTGATGACATGGACTGTAGTTCATGAACGCTTACCCATTCATAAATTTGTTTTAGCAAAACTAATGGAGTAAACTATTTAGATATAGCCAACATGGTGCTGCTCAGAGGTTGTTGGACAACTTCCATCATCCTAGACTCATCAGTCATGCTGGTTGGGGCTGATAGGAGTCCAACAAAATCTAGAGGGCACCATGCTACCTTCCCCTGTACTATAGCTTCATAAATTCAACTCTTTTTCTTTAGTTACTAAAATGTTCTATGGAAGTGAAGCACCAAAGATTAGCATAGGCTACAGTCAAATCAGACAGAATCTTATCTGCAAAATACTAAAAACAACAAGAAGTCCCAACTGAATGGTTTGTCACAACGTGAGAATGTGCACCAGTGTCAAAAGGAAGGAGTGCAGTTAGTGCAGGATAGGCAAAGCAAAAAATAATTTATGATATACAGCTTTTATATTAATCTTCCCCAGCTTGGTGTCCTGCAGCCCCAGCAACCATTGCCAATAGTCAGAGATGATGAGAGCAGTAATCCAATACATATGGAGGGCACCAGGCTGGGGAAGGCTGTTTTATGTACTTCTGGAATGCAACATATCAGGCACATACAGTAATAGGATTTGTTTGAGTTTGTTGGAAGTATTTGTTCATGCTGACATTTGTATAAATGTGGCACAATCTGGTCCCACCCACAGTGACAATGACCGCACATGCATTCCTGTAGGGCTCAACAGAGCCTTGCTTCCCCCGCTGGTGTGCTTGCAATCAGCACAACCTGCTATTAAAGGGAACTAGCAGCTGTTATAGGGAACCAACAGACAAACAAACAACTTTCCAAAATATACAGTAGATTGTAAGGATTACTGAGATGTGTTGTTATTTAGTACTCCTGGTGTGATAGAGAACATTGAAATTATATAGCCCTTCTATGTGTCAGATGGAGATAAAAGAAATTAATGTGGTTAAAGAAGATGAGATGGGAAACCAATAATTTTAAAATGACTCTCTCTGGGCAGTGAAAAGTAGCATCCTGCAAGAAGCTGATAACATGATAACAGAGGGGGAAATACAGCTCTTTGTCCTGTGATAGAAAATAAACTTTCCTAAGATTAAGTCACAGTATATCAGCCTGTTCTACAGCCACTGACTTAGCATATTTTCTTAAAGGAAGGAGGGTCATTTTTAATAATATTAATGGCTTCAAGTGCACTTTTTTGTATTGCTGAAATTTCCTACAGCAGTTTCCTGCCAGCTCATAATAGCCTTGTGCTGAGAAAAAAAACAACTAAGCATGTTCTCTGCTGAATAAATATGTTAATGAAGTCCCAAACAGAGCTGCATAACAGGCAGTGAGAGAGAGCCAAGAAAAGTTTAAATGTATTCTAGGATGAATAGGTGCAACATTATATATAACAAAACTCATGTTGCCTCTAAGCATTAATGAGTTTTAAGCTGCTGACAGGAACACAGATCTCACGCTTATTCCTGGCCTGCGCTTAACGAGACTCAGCTTAAAGGAACTCTTGCTGTGAATTGGGTGGTTGTTTGAATGGCTACTGTGAGGCCTCTTATGTACACACACAGTAGCCCTCTTCATTTTATTTATTTATTTAGCTTTTCTACCCACCCTTCAGCACAAGGGCCCAAGGTGCGTCAATGCAGTGCTGTCCATGAAGCTTTATATAGTGCATAATTTGCTTATAACTTGTAAGACGAAACAACCTGAAAATAAAGTATCTTTGAGGAAGGCAGGTAAATGCATTTTAAAAAATGCTTGCATTTATTTTATTTTATAGAGATATGGGAAATGATTAATAGATATATTAAAACTATAGACATTCGGGCCACGATCCAGCCATGGTGCTGACCGTGTGCTATTTGCATCATGCATCACTCAGAGGAAACCTGCTCTTCCTATTTGCAGCCAAAAGGGCTGTGCTTCAGTGCTGAATGGCTGTTGCACATGTCAGTTAAAAAGCAAACTCCCTCCCCTTGCTCAGAACAGTTTTACAAGCTCACATCACAGCAGAAAAACTTTCCAACTGTTCCTAGTCACAGATATGTCTGCATGTGGCCCGAAAGGGTCTGGTTCTAACCCTTGGGACCGAAAGATGATACTGAATTTTGACACTTTTTATAAACTCTCCCCCGTCTGCATTGCTTTCTTTTTCATGCAGTAGAAATATAATTCAGGCTGGACCACTTTGTTAGCTCAGCCGCTTAATGAAAAACTGCCACAATTACTACAACAAGAAGCCTGTTTCCCTATTCCTTGACACCATTTTTCATATGCAGAGATTTAAAAGAAGAAGCTGCTCTTGAAACCATGACTATTTTTCCCTAACCAAAAGAAGAAAGAAAGAAAAAAGAACTCTTCCTAGCAACAGCAATTATGATACTTTCATGTCAAATGAATTATATTACTGAAAATAAATCTTTCTAAGATGCACAAGAGGGTTATCTGGCTCCAGTCAGACTTATGCATTACTGGTTTTATATGTTGTACTCTAGTTGATTAATATAGGTAATCAAATTATATAGCTTTCCACTGTGCTCTCAAATTCAAGGCTATAATGTTTTCAATGACAAAGTTCATAGAGTTGTATAAAAATGTACCTCGCGCTGTACCAGGCCTTTATTACTGTAGTAAAACACCATTTTCAATTTAGTAATAAGTGATATAAAACAGAGTGTCTTGATTGGCAGGGTTGTATTCATTATATGGGACATGAAGACAAGGTGCTAAGGTTACTGACGTGAGGCCATCAAAATCTGGGCCAAAATTATATGGCCCACCACCCTGGAAGGTGAGGAGATGCTGGGAACAAATGGGTGTATTCAATGTTCTCCGTCCACTAGTGCAAAGGCAAGTTTTAATGTTGCTCAACAGAGGAGCCCAACACAACAGAAACCCGTTGCACAACAGATGCGCAGTCTCTTGTGCAGCAAAGTTTCCAGCAGAAACAACAACAACAACAACACCCTGCCCAGCCACTCTGGGCAGCTTCCTGCAAGATATAAAAACATAATAAAATGCCAAACATTAAGAACTTACTGATACAGGGCTGCCTTCAAATGTCTTTTGAAAGTTGTGTAGTTCTTGATCTTCTTGATCTCTCTGATGAGAGGGCGCCACTGCCGAGAAGGCCCTCTGCCTGGTTCCCTGTAACTTCACTTCTTGCAGCGAGGGAACCACCAGAAGACTCTCAGAGGTGGATCTCAGTGAGTAATCTACTAAGTGACTATAACTCAACACTAAATTGGGTTTAACCCTTTGCTTTGTTCCCAGCATCTCACTTTCTAGGGAATGAAATGATGTGCTACATAGTGAACAGTGGATTAGGCGTCCCCTCCTCCATAAAAATGGACAACTCCCTTTACTAATATGCTCACTAAGGCCAGGAGCTCTCAGGACTAGTTGCAGCAACCCATGGTTCTCGGTAGGACTGCTGACAGCACTCCCCAGACCAGGGGCAGGAAGCCTCAGGCCTGGGGGCCAAATGTGTCCCTCACAAAGGAGATGCAAAGGAATAATCCTGAGCGCACCTATGCATGTGCTCCCTATTCTTTCTTTGAAGTTGAATCACTTGATATAATATGGAGGATCTGTCAGTCCCCCACTCCTGCTTTATTGAATGCAATCCAATCCTCCCTGCCACCCGTGCACGCAATTACTTCAGAATAACGCATAATGTAATTAGAAATAAAGAAATGTATACAACAAAGTCCTATTAAGGGTGAACCAATTTAAATTAATGGGCCTAAGATAGCCATGCCTGCTAATTTCAATGGGTCTACTCCAAGAATGGCTAGCTTTGGATATAACCCAAATACTTATAGAGCTCATTTTAGGGGAGTTGTGTTTCTATTTTATTCTTCTCAGCCAATCTGCCCGTTCTCATGTAAATAAATTATTGTTTGGTGGGTTTTTTAAAATAGTTTTTTGGGTGTTTTTTTTAAAAAAATCAGCTTCTTCTAGGTGGCTCTTCTTAAATAGTTAGGTCTCTTAATATCAGCTCCTCAACAAAAATGAGTTGTTTCTAACTTTGGGGCTTCCCAGAATCATCTGGTTAGCCACCACAGAAAGCAGGACATGGGACTAGATGGATTTCTCTTATGTAACAGCTGGAGCTTGAGACATTTCCAAAGCTCTTCAGATGCTCCTTTGCTGTGACTGGATCCCAGCTGTTCATGTGACATTTTGCTGCTTGAGGAAGAGCAGCAAATAGTGACACTGCCCCCCACCACACCTGCAAATAAAGGTGTGTATTACCTAAGAAGATCCCATCTAGTCTAGCATTCTGTTCTCACAGTGGCCAACCAAGTGCACCCCAAAAGCAGGGTGTGAGCACAACAGCACTCTGCCCACCTGTGAGGCACACTGGCTCTGAGTGTAGTGATATAACTCTCACTTCTTCTTTTTTGGCCTTTTCCAATGTCCAGACTCTTAAGGTAAAGGGACCTCTGACCATTAGGTCCAGTCGTGGCTGACTCTGGGGTTGCGGCGCTCATCTCGCTTTATTGGCCGAGGGAGCCGGTGTACAGCTTCCGGGTCATGTGGCCAGCATGACAAAGCCGCTTATGGAGAACCAGAGCAGCACATGGAAATGCCGTTTACCTTCCCGCCGGAGCGGTACCTATTTATCTACTTGCAGTTTGACGTGCTTTCGAACTGCTAGGTTGGCAGGAGCAGGGACCGAGAAATGGGAGCTCACCCCGTCGCAGGGATTCGAACCACCAACCTTCTGATTGGCAAGTCCCAGGCTCTGTTGTTTAACCCACAGCGCCACCCACGTCCGCGTCCTGTCCACCCGCGTCCGCATCCAGACTCTTACTCTGCCTAATTAATTATTTTATTCATTTATTGCCTTTATATCCCACCTTTTCCTCCAACCTGCTCAACGTGGCATAAATTTCTCCCCTTTCCTCATTTAATCCCCACGACACCCATGAGAGGTAGTTCACACTGAGAGGCAGTAGTGACAAGGTCACCCAGTGAACTTCATGGCCAAGTGGGGATTTGAACCCTGGTCCCACAGGTCCTAGTCTGACACTCTCAACTACTACACCACACTGGCTCTCCTGTAGGAGCAGCCCTGTTTGGGATGACAGGGTACATTCAGCCATCCATACCTTACACCAAACAGGCCTGGGAAATGGCCTAGTGCCTTTTTGGTACCATGTGACTCAGGCAGGCAGGTGAAAGGCTCTATGTCTATGGAGTTGCTATGGACAACCTCAAATCCTTAGGAGCTCGGCTGTGTGGTTCTTGACACATTCCCTCAGTTGTCAATTAACATTAATCTTTCACTAGCACCTTTATTCAGCCTACGGATGTCTGGGGGCAGTGGAGCTCAGGAGGAAGAGGAGGAGGAGGAGAAAAGACAGCTTCCAAACAGGCTTCCATTATATACTCATCTCTGAAGGACGTGTTCACTCCACTAAATGAGTATTAAAGGGTGAACAAGGGATCTACTGTGTGCATATGAAATGAATGAAATAAAGTTGCAAGTGGTTTCTGAAAACATTTTAAGGGTTATTTTGATAAGCCTCATTAAACCAGGATCTTCTCAAAAAAATAAAAAAAACCACAGTATATGTAAAGTGATACATAATATTGCCAGAAATTAATAGGGTTTTTTCTGCCTTGTTTCCTTGGCAACTTGGCCTTTCATAATGTTTTCAAAGATGTTTCTGTTTGTGTGTGTGTGTGTCTGTGTGTGTGTATATATTCATATATATATATGAATGAAACATATTCCTCCCAAATCATACCACAATAATCTTGTGATTAAAAGCACCGCCAGAATGTGGCCTTGCCGCAAGATGGAGAATTAATGACTCTGTATTAAATGATCCACTGATGTTAAATCAAATTAAAGTAGCCTTGCAAGAATATTTAACGCTTAATGATAGCCTCTGTATCAGAGCAGGTTTAATCTAGGATGCAGCTATAGATGTCATGAAAAGGAATTAATCAGCATTGCTCCCACTAAAACAGAAATGCAAAATTGCTGAACAGAATGAATTAGAAACAGATTAGAGAACTAGGACTTAAACATAAAAGAAACTAAGCTGATGCCACCCTCAGAGAGCTAATTTGATATACAGGAGAACTTAATTTGCCTTTAACGGTGGAATCAGACTGTTTGATGTTATTAGAAGAGGAGCCTACATTATGAAGCTGAGAAGGGGCACAGATATTCCTTTCCTTGTCAACTGAAATGAAAACCCATCCAAAATATCAGGGGCTGAATAATAATAATAATAAGCCAGATGAATGTGGTTATTGCTGCCTAGGGGACTACGAGAATATCCTATGCTGAACTCTTGCTAAAAACCGTGGGCTGCAAGAAGTTTTATTCATATAAAACATCTTAGAGCATGTTTGCAGCAGATTCACAAGTAAAACCCTGCAGTGACAGAGAACTCTGTATTAAGGGACCATATATGCATGCAGCTGATGCCTGAGGTGGTATGGGAAAGTGAAATCTGATTCCTGTGCATTCCGGATAATTTGCTAAAAAATCTATTACAGAAAGGGTTCTGTACTTTCGCAGTAAAGGCATAGTGCATACAGATAATTTGAGAGGGGGTGCTGACCAGAGCTATGCCAAGCACAATTAATTTCAGCCATTCCTTATCAGCAGTTCTCCTTAAACCTGCAAATTTGTTTTGATTTCCCCTGAATTTAGAGAGGAGCCTGAGGGGTGGGGATGAAAGACACCTGCAGTCTATTGGTGCTTTGATTTATTAAAAGTGCTCATCTTTCTGCCTCAATCTGACATACTCTAGGCAGCTCATAAGCACCTACACTCTTATAAGAGTCAGGCTCAAGGATGTGGCCAAGGTGCCCGGATCAGTCAGAGCCACCACTTGTGCTCAAGACCCTTGCCCCTCTTGGCTGATAAAAACCAGCAGGGAGATAACAGTGGGCTGGGCCAGGGAGGTGGTCAATGCCTCTTTACAAGAGGGGGTGGTCCCTGCCTGTTTGAAGAAGGCAGTGGTAAAACCACTCCTTAAGAAACTTTCCCTGGATTTGGAAAACCTAACTAACTACTGGCCAGTTGCTAATCTCCCTTTCCTGAGCAAGGTCCTGAAGCGAGCAGTCACAGACCAGATCCAGGCGCTTTTGGAAGAAACTGGTTTTCTGGATCCATTTCAGTCAGGGTTTAGGCACAGAGACTGCTTTGGTCACCTTATATGATGACCTCGGTCAAGAGAGAGACAAGGGAAACATGTCCCTGTTAATTCTTCTTGACTTCTCAGCGGCTTTCGATACTATCAACCATGGTATCCTTCTGGAGCGACTCTCCAAACTAGGAGTGGGTGTCATCAATTTGCAG